GTAAGAGAGGTTCATTAAGGCTCGCTTCTTGTGGCGTATGGGAGATTGACCTCAGTCCCAGGCCACGGGTGACGGCGACACCGCGCAGCCTACGATAACAGTTTAAAAACTTACGCGAAATGTAACCATTTTAAAATATTAAAACAATAAAAAATGCCAGAATGGCCTTGCGATGGGCTGATCATTCATCCAAGGGGTCCTAGCAATGTTAAAAAAAGATTACGAAATCTCCCGTGTATGAGGCGGCTAAAGGTCCTTCAATGACCCCACTACATTTCTCCCTTGAGATCCCCTGGCTTCCCACACATCCTGCACACCACGGGTAATACGATCCGTAGTTCCGTAGTATGTGCCTGTCGTCGGGAAGAGGCTACCTTAAAACATCTTCCACCATTCTGTTTTATTCTGCCAAATAAATACGAGTACTGAAATGAGGCCATATGAGGTCTAAGAACGTCTTTCGCTGACATATTAATTTTTTAATTCAGAAACAGAATTTAAAAAAAACTACGAACACTGACATCAACAACAGGTAGAGATCAGTATTGTCCAAATATCGGTCCGTGGGACACTTCAGGCCCAATACGACTTGTAATTAGAACCGTGAAATTAATTGTTAATTCGTTCACTTATTTTCTTTACTAATAAAGGGTCTGAAATGAAAATTCGATTCATATCTCGTTTGCTGTTTTACGTACAATTGGCACAAATGCTATTGGCTTTTAAAAGCCCCTAATGTAAAATGTAAGTTTTTCCAGGTAGAAGTTGTGTCAAATACAAGATGCTCCATAAATTAACGCTTTAATAATATGTGCAGACTTCAATAACATTCATATATGAGCATATATTATGGTAATTTCTCATTTCTAGATAAGTATTGTTAATTATTGGTTCCCCAAAAATAGTTCCAGGAGTTGGGCCCTCGGGTTCAACACGGCCCCCCTCAAACTAGCCTTCGCAGTATGGTACTTACTGTCAGACGCAGGCCCTTCATAACAGCAATCTTCATTCTCTCCGCGGTGAGAACCTCAAATCCTCTTACGTCTTGAGAGACTGGGTTCCCCTGCAAAACATTCACTAGTCCACATGCAGTACGGAGAAGTCGGAGAAGTTGCCGCTCAATTAGACTCGTGATACAGGAGAAAGGTGAATGCTACTATGATATGAGAAAACTGCGTAACGCAGGGCTACATAATTTTTACTTTTTAATAAGTAATATTAGGGTAATAAAATCAAGAAGCTTATGTGGGAAAGATAAGAATATGTTTTAAATTGTGGTTGGAAAGTCTGAAGGTAACAGACAACTCGGAAGATCTAGGCATAGATGAGACAAAGATTTATATTAAAATGGGTATTACGAAAATAGATAAATTATTGAGGACTGGATTCATCTGCCTCTGTTTCAAGTTGGTTAGTTGGTATATTTGACCTCTGCCTACCAGCGCATATAAAGCGGATATTTGAAACCTAATCGTCTCATTCAGTATTCTTAAAATTACAATGCAATTTTGGGCAAATAAAGTATAAATACATAACGGAAATGCGATATTATAATTATGGAAGCCTTATCTGTAAATGTACAGGAGCCAACATTTTTATGAATAAACCTGTACTATGTAAGAATTGAGGTTTTCACAGCGGTGAGTATAAAGATTTCCGCCTCCGTCATCACGGCGATGAATAATATAAAGGGTTTACACAAAAGAATGGTGCGGTTTCAAACTTCAATAACTCGGCTTAAAATAGACATAGCGCCGCCATCTTAGTCTCGTTTTAAAGAGGAAGGATGAA